TGTGGACGAAATTGATTGATTTTTACCTTATTTGAAAGCTAATATGTTAAAGAATAATATTAATTTGGTACAAATAGTCAAAGGTGAAAAATACGCGAGATGGGAGCGAAGAAATTTGAAAAAAGTGAAAAAATGGCATTTTTCCGAAGTTTAAGGTCGATGAGCGACCTCTAAACATTATCCGAATAGTCTAAAACTTCACATTTAGTAGTTTTTTGAGTATACGAATAAATTTAGGGGGTGGCATCTAAAATTCGAACACATTTTTTTGCCCCCATACATATAACGGCCACCCTAATCTATATATATATATACCGGTGTACTCCCATTACCACAATGGAAAGTCCGCCAAAAATATTTCGGAAATGTTGATCATAAATTTAAGAACGATGTACAATATCATATCACGTGTAGAAAAAGAAGGAAAGAATTTAAAGAATCAGTATTCGTGTAGAGCTGCCAGAAAGAAACCACTGCTGTCCATGATTCCAGGTACGCCCATGATTGTTAGCCTACAATATGGCAGTTTGACTAAAGGCCTGTGAGTGATATAGTGTGTCTCAACACCTATGCATTATTTAGATATTATTGTCCAACTTTAATGGTCTATTTGATTAACCAAAAATTTATATTTCATGTTTAGTAGTGTGACTTGCATATTCTCTCTTAAAAATAATATCTTTCAAACAAAATAAAAAATCGACATTTCCTACACTTATACGTCATTAAATTTGTGGTAAAGTATAAATTGATACAGGGTCCATACCACATTAAATTGTAATATTTTGTATTGTTACTTTATTCGATTGTTTATATGGTGCTGCATCGAATGAAAGGACGTGTCAGCATTACATGTATGTGATGTCCTAGTGCGTGCACATCTAGATACTGCACATATGAATACAAAAACTAAAGAAAAAAGCATAAATTTGTGTGATTTTACTTAATGCTGCTTTTAAGTATAAAAAGCAATTTTCGTACATAAATTCACATTTAGGCCCGCTGTCATCTTAATCCCCAGCTTACAATTAACGCATTTAGTACTTTACAGCAAACGAGAAAATATGTAAGTACTTTACCGAATCGCCTTTTGGTGGAATAAGCAAACTGTACACACAAATGTGCCAACAAGGAGTGATGTTTCGAATGAGCATTTTGGAGTTTCACGTTTGCACTTAACGTCAACTGCTGACATTAAATAAGCACCAAACTTCTAATCGCACGCCCGAATTTATATGAAAATTGTAAGAATGGCATAAATAAATAAGAGGAAACATAATATAAGTTGTCCACCGACCGACCGCCCCCCACACGTACAGCTTAATACATTTTAATAGCGATGTATCTGGTATGTGCCTGTGTCCATTATGGACATAAAGAGTTTTGTCACGCTGTTGCGGCTTTCACAAAACAGTTTTGGCTCTGCGATGCTAGCAATAAAAATGGCAATCGATGGCATTTTAAGCTCAAAGAAGTTGACTTACCTAAGCCCACCCCTTATTTAGGCAAAGCTTCAAATTCCATTCTACATATACTACACCTTAAACGCACATCTGCACCTATAAAATACAGTACATACTAGCATTTGGTGACTTTGCACAACTGAACTCCTTGTTCAGTTTCTTCGTCAGCCAGAGTAGTCAAACGTACTACTTTTTTTTTACCAACAGCAATGAAACCCTTAAAAGCACATTAAACGAAAGGCAAGCGTTTGGACAGGATATAAGTCTGCAGACAAGCCAAATCCTAAATGCTTACAAAGGCATTTGAAATGCAGCTTACATCCTTGCTTATTGCCACCTTGTGTGACCTTTTGTTTCATTTTATCTCCGCTTTTTCTTTTGAGTATTTCTCCATTGTTATTTGACAAATTTTCTGTAATTTCTGTAATTTCGTTGTGTAAATTTGCATTTTAAGATTTTTATCTGAAGCTTAACGCTGACAATAAATGCTGTCGTGCACAATTTTTTCAAATTGCTTTTACAATATTTATAATTTGTGTCCTTTTTTGTTTAAGGTAAATATGTGCAAAGTTTTTGTCTGCTTAGAACTCAGTATTCAGTGAATTTTTCATGCTGATATGAGAGTTTAAAAGTTACATGTTTGCAGAGCTCAAAAGTCCCCAAGGGTGCACTCCATTACGTACTTTGTTTTAGTTGGGAAATTTCAACAAAAGACTACGTTCACAAGCTTGAATTATCCTCTAAAGTACTGAGAAAATAATTTATTTATCGTTATTGTTTAAACTTTTAGTTAACAATGAGAATTTCTCAACTTAGTAATGAGACAAGTTTTTGCTATAAGTTTGTTAATAAAATTATATATAATAAAGTATAATTTGAAGTATTATTTTTTTAATAGCATAATTAATAATTTAATTATTAGACTTAAAACATTATTAAGCTTTAATTAGATTTATAAGTAAAAGAGTAGTACAGAATGGACTCCTTACAAAATAGGAGATATAAGCATGCTGAGTGAGCCCTTTATCCTTGCGCTATAAGTTTTTGCTATAAGTTTGTTAATAAAATTATATACAATAAAATAAAATTTAAAGTATTTTTTTTTTAATTGCATAAAGAGTTAAACCAACATTATTAAGCTTTAATTATATTTATAAGCAAAAGAGTAGTACAGAATGGGCTCTTCACAAAATAGGAGACATAAGCCTCCTGTTGTTATATTTTTATAAAAAAAAGAACCAGTGTTCTTATGTCACACTTTCACTCAATAAATTGCTCACTTATTTGAACACAAGTGGGCATTTTGGAAACAAGGCCGTCAGTCCAACCTACCCTATCTACCTATTTGGGCTTGATATTATAGGATTCTTCTTGCCGCAGTACCAACTGTTGGGCAATTTTACGACAATAGCTTTAATAATAATATTTGACCATAAGAACCCGTTACCGAACTGACGCAGCATATCTTTTCAGGCGCCTCTGCTATATGCTCGTATTCTACAATTTCGTATATCAAGTCCGCTTACTGTTTCCTCAATATGATAGGGGTTTACCTTGTTTGAAACTTCGCACGCTCTCAAAAGGTTCGGAGAGACTCGATCTTAACTAGACGAAGGTACGAATATTGTACAACGTCATTATGCAGAGTCTCATTAACTTTGCAGGGATATCGAGCTTGTGCCGTAAAAGCGATCTTTTATGGGGCTATAGAAAGTTGCTTTATAATCGTCAAGAAGGTGGTTGGTTTCGATGTTATGTTTGTGAGTTTTTTCTAGAATTTGACACAGTGTGAATATTTAGTCAATTGTGCAGATCGAAAGCCGCACTGAAAGTCAATAAATATGCTATAAACTTCAATAAGTTCTTTTTATGAAATTGGCTAATATGTCAGTAATTAAATAATTTAATTTCAAGATGGAGTTAGAGTTAGAACAAACTTTTTTCTTGTACGGTGTCATATACCCATAACATATAAGCTTCAACAGTTGTTTTCAATTATAACATGTATTAAGTACTTATGTCAACCTGAAAACCGTTGGAGATGGCCATCCGTTGGTGATGCCAATCGCTTTGCTAGACAGTTTAAGTACTATGAGAGAAAAATTTGCCCGTAGGCTACTGGACACGTAAGTGTTGCCTTCTGTACAAGTAATCCATGCCTTTATCAAGCATGGATTGACAGTTCTTTGCTTAAGTACTATGAGAGAAATTTTTGCCCGTAAGCTACTGAAGACTTAAATGTTGCCTTCTGTAATTCATGCCTTTATTCAGCAATACTCATGTAACAAGTTATCACAGTCTCTTAGTCGAATATTTTTTATTTATTTAAGTAGAAATTTTTATTAACTTAAAAAATTTCTACTCTATTTTCTTTAAATAGAGTATTTTCTCTTTATTTAAATAGAAATTTTCTATTTATTTAAATAGAAATTTTCTCCTTATTTCAAAAAAAAATTTCATAAAAGACAAGAAGGAATTTAATTTAGTGTAAATAATCAAATTGTGGGCTTTTCTAAAACACCTGATATTATCAATTTTGTGACACTCCACTTCAGTATTTCAAAATCAGTTTAAAAAAGTATAGGTTAATAAATTTTCAGATTCATTGAATGCTGAAATTATATTCACAAATTATTATAAATTATTTGCAACTCAATTGGCTGAATATTTGAAAGATAATTCTTTGATTTATTAAACAATTAAGTATGTAATAAAATTTTCACGATCTGCTTACTTAAATAAAAGCCATTAAAAATAAATGGTGAGTTCGGTTTTTTTGAAAGAACTATTGGTATGTAGAATCACGTAGAATAATAAATTTTGAAAGTAGAACTTCTATTTAGTTTGCAAAAGTGTTTGGAGATATAAAAAGCCCAACAGCACAGGACGGATAATTCCCTACTACAACAATGGATACTCTCCAGTATTGGTTCTAGCAAGCGACTTTTTAAGCTCGCAAAATATCGAATAAATGAGTGTTATGCCGTTAAATCATGTTTTGGATCACATGAGTTTTTCTTCTTTCGCCATACAAAGAACAAGATGTGTGGAGCAAAATTTTCATCAACAGAAGACACTGTTAATTGAGAGGTGTGTTGAACCTAAGGTTTTGTAGGTGTCTCTGTTGGAGACAAGTGCTTTGGCAACTGTTTCAAACGCATAAAAACATATATGAATCAAAAAGGATAATATTTTAAAACCAGTGAAGCTATGTACATAAGAACCTAGTTTTTTGATTACTGGACTCTCACAGATGAGAATTTAAGTATAAATATAAATTCTATTTAAAATATTAAACAAAGTTAAATCTTAACTAAAAAAAATGTATGATAATAAAAAGACTGAAGTTTTTTATATTAACAGAAAACTTTTATTTATAGACTTCTCAGTATAATAAAATCTGATAGATAAATAAATCTTCTAATTAAATTTGAAATGCAACACTTTCTATGCTTCTATTAAACAATTTTAAATAATAAAAATGCAGTAAATTGAATTCCTTTTCATTTGGATTTTATCTCTCTTCCATTTCTTTAGGATGCGGCCATCTGTGTTAAATTTCATTTAGAGCGTGAGAAAAATCCACACAAATTCAATAGTCGGATGAAGAACAAACTGTGGTACTTTGAGTATGCCACCTCGGAAACATTTGCAGCTTCCTGTAAGAATCTTCATGAAAATATTGAAATTGTGGTAAGTACTGAAACGTGTGTGCTCAACAGAAGCAATAAAATCAGTTCCACTGCCGCTGTGACTATGAATGCATTGAGCATGCTGGAGTACATTAGAAAAAGCTGTCAGCATCAAGCGTCAAATAGCTCGACCAACTACCCATACATACTTTAGGCTACTAATCCTACATTGTAGAAACCATAGCAGCTAATACGTTGTCCTTGCTGCTTGTGTGGCACTGCGTGCTGAGTGAGCCTTTTATCCTTGCGCACACAATTTTCTTTCTCAGCTAATGCAGTGATTCATGTTATCGCATATTTTATACAATATATCTTTTTATTTTTTACTTTTTCTTAAATTGCCTTTTGTTATATATTATTAACACTTCTTCTTTTTCTTTTTCATCCTTTCCTTTTCATATATTTTTAACAAGTTTTATTTTCAAGCTTCAACTTCAAAATTCAGTCTCCATGAAAAGTGAATAGGAATTTAATTTAGTGTGAATAATCAAATTGTGGGCTCATCTAAAACACTTGACATTATCAATTTTGTGACACTTCATTCCGGTGTTTTCTATTCAGTATCAAAAAATATAGGATAATAAATTTTAAAATTCATGGAGTGCAGAATTTATATTCACAAATTATTATAAATTATTTGCAACTCAACTGACTGCATACTTCAAAGATGACAGACTTTTTCAATGTACCTACTATCGCACTAAAATACCATAATACATTTTCATTTATCATCAAACTCTTTAAAATACTTTTACATAAATCGAGTTAAATATTGAGGTTTCGAACCGTATTGAATTGCAACAACAAAAATTTTCATTTATTTTTAATTAATTGAAACTGAACTAACCAAGTATTGCCAAGTACCTATCATCTGTGTTCTTGGAATGAAGTGTTATATTTAATTATTCATGAACATTTTTTTTTTTTGAACTTTAGAAATCTGGTTTAAAATTGTCTTTATATACGAGTACGACACCCTAAACATCCACAGCTTCACAGCTAAATCAAAGGTGAATTAGGAATAAATTGCAATCTCTGACAGTTTCTTCTTGGATATTCTCATACCATGAGAAAATCAATCTCATTATTTTTATTAACCTTCACAGTATTAGAAATACCAAAATTTTTATTGTAAAAATAAACAATAATTTCTGAAATAGAATATATTTCTATTGCAGCCCAAACAAATTATAAACAGACCATAAACTAATTAAAAAGATATTCGAATATTTCCTAAGACCACTGATGATATGTACCTACTTTACAATACTCAAAACAGCGTTGTACGGTCAGTTAAATTTCAATAAATTAACTGAAATTTTTGTTGTTGTCTTTTTTTTTCGAATCCGTCTAACTTATAAATACTACCTTTTCGTCATAAAGACGCTTCACTCTCGACAAGAAAAAAATTAATATTAGAAATACATTCATTTTTTCAAATTTCTATTTTGAAAAGTCCCTAATTCGTCGCTTCTCTAAATTCAATTTTATTACAGGCGTGTTAAGATATAACATTAACATATAACATATAACATTAAGATATAACACCTTTTTTTTCTAGATTTGTATAGAAGTAAGTCCAAGTCAGTATTTAAAAACAAGAGCAAATGTTCAATTAATACGGTATTGATCATTTAGAACCTCGTCTTTAAAATACACATACTGACCTTCATTTATTACGAGAGGGTACTTAGTAATAAAATTTATACAGTTAATCTTGACTTAATATGCACTGATTCTCAAGAAACTCCTTTATTCCTGATTCTGGATTCTATAAAATTCGTAATTCTGGATTAACTCAAATTGACAAAGTAGCGTGTCTGAAAAAAAAACACAGACGGATAAATAAACAGATAATCGCAAAGACGTACAGCCAATTCGTAGACTGTCCTTGATTCTAATGGCAAGCATCTTTATTAACTAATTAAACTTAATTTATAGCATAGCATTACATGAAGTAAATTATCCCTGAAATCGGAACTTTACATATCACTGTTTTTGTCATAATTGTTATCAACGACAGCTGCAATTATAAGCTCCTTTAGACCAGTTTCGATCTAAGAACTTTAGTTGTTATCAAATTAATTTTTTCGTACTTAAGGGGTCTGGCTACCACTTCCGAACTTTACATTTTTTTTTTAAATACAAAATGAATTATCGTCTCAATGCTGTGCTGCTTTGGGAGCCATTATACTATTCATTTCTATTTCTTATATTATCTTCTTAAGGAAATATAGCTTATTTTTATTTTATCAAATTCCAGTGCGATGGCGTTTCATTAGATTTAGCAAATGGACCTCATTTACAAGGAGTAGCACTGCTGAACATTCCTTACACTCATGGTGGTTCCAATCTATGGGGAGAGCATTTATCACAGAAACGCATGCGCAAAAGTTCTGGACCATTTCGTAAAGGACTAAAATTAAAATCATCTGATAAAGAGCTATCAGCAACAAGTTTTAATTCAGTGGACCTATCCGTTGCTACTCAAGGTAAGTACATTTAGATTTTAAAACGAAAGTCATATATTTAATTAAAATATAATTATATTTAAAAAAAATGAAAAATAAAAATAAAAAGTATATAACACTATAATCTTAACAGTAATATTAATTTTATAACATTTTATATAATACAGTATACTATTATAATGTGTTTGGTTAGGTTAGTTTAGGTTATATTGGCAATCCCAAGGGATTCACTTACGTAGATAAGCATATTATGTTACCATATAGAGATAAACTCAGAGATAAAACTTTGGTAAAGCTTATATCAGGGGGAAAGTCTTGAAGTTGACCAATTTCCTCACTTAAAGTGGTAAAGCGACACTGTGTGCATATGCCGAACCGGACAAAGCAGATGGGAGGCATTTTCATCCTCCTCTCCACAACTTCGACAAGTGTAGTTGAAATGAAGATTCAATCTTCCAGAAAGGTTCCCTAAACTGCAGTGACCTGTAAGTAAACCCAGTACTGATATCTTTATCAGATATCATAGAGACTATATCTCTATGGAGCATCTCAATAAGAGAATTAGATTTCCTTTTATTGGAACGTAGCCAAATTGTATACAGATATTTACATATCGTTTGAGGCTGTCCATCTTTTATTAAAAAGATTTACACAGATAGAATTCCATACATGATATCAGCAATATGCCCAAATTGTTTACGTGTTCCGGGGTGGTTCCCTGAAGCACCACGTCTGGGTAGCTCGTCGGCTTTGCAATTGCCGAAAATATCGAGAAATGTTACGGTTCATCGAAATCTCGTTTAGAGATGTATAGCAGTCAATGGCTGCCCTAGATGTAAATTGAACTAAACTCAAGAACTTTAAAAATAATTGACTGTCCGATAGTATGTATATATTTATTTCAAGTATGTCATTAACTTCCAGACAAGTTATAACCTACCTAATAGCATGCACTTCTGACTGATTTGAAAGTCTTTAGTAAGAAGATATATTCAACTTTAATGAAAAAACTCCGCTACCTATGCCACTACTTGTTTTTGTTGTATCAGTGTGTAGGGATAAATCCTTCTCTAAAGAAAGATCCACTAACCGCCAAAGATCTCTAGATGGAATTTTCTGTCGAAATTGAGGACTGAAAAATTTTAGAATGGATAGGTGTCTATAGTCAGTAGCCTTCTATTGTGAGATAGCCTTGAGTATAAAATAATACTGCAAAATGTTTATTAATAATATATATTGGAACTTTAAGAAATTGAAAGGTGCAGAAATAAGAACGTGCCATTCAATAGATGTCCTAAATTTTAGAAAGAGTTGTTTTCTAAAAAGTGCTAAGGTAGATTACACCGAAAATCGGGAATCACCATACTCGTTATTTCTTTGTTTATAACAATAACAAAAGTACTCAAAAGATATATCGTGTAAAGTGCTCGGTTACCGAATAGCATTGCAACAGGGTGAAGCGGCAACTCGTTACACGAGATTGTGAATACCCCTAATTCCATAAATTGAAGTAAAAAGAGTGAATCGTTTCTTCCTAAGCACATCTAAAATGAATTCAAAACAGGAAACATCACAGATTACTACAAATAAAACAATGCTGTTTTGTGATTGTAAAAAAATATTTAAGTAAAACTGCATTTTTAATTAGTTTCATACTTTTTTTATTTTTAATAAAAACATTTCAGAAATTCGAATACTACGAATACTAAAACTATCTGTAAAACAGATTGGTTCTAATTTGTGACCGTCTACCAGTAAAGAATCTATTCGGCAGACACATATCTTTCAAGAAATTTTTTTCATTCGAGTGTAGGGTCTGTCCAAAATAGATTAAGTTGTCCCAAATATAATGAGAAAAAAAGATTTTAGAAAAACTATGAACCTAAGAGAAAAGTTCTCCAGCAAACAAATACTTTAGAATTGGTTTCACTGTACTTATGAACACATTAATTAGTGGTTATTTTAGTTTTATATAAAACTAATTAATATAGACATCAACTTTATTTACTATCAATTGACCGATATATATTTTATTGAATCTCAGATTTTGGTGATCGATTGATTGAAGTTATTGGGTTAGAAAATTGCTTACACATGGGACAAGTGCGTACCGGCTTACGTGCCTCTGGACGTCGTTTGGCGCAATGCAGTGAAGTTGTTATTAAAACAAAACGAACCTTTCCTATGCAAATCGATGGTGAACCTTGGATGCAATTACCATGCACGGTAAAATGACTAACTTAATTATAAATATCTTACAGATATCAATATATTATTAATGAAAATTATGTATTATAGATAAAAGTTACACATAAAAATCAAGTTCCTATGCTGATGGCACCACGTTCCGAGAAGGGCAAAGGATTTTTCAATTTACTTTGTAGCTGATTTCGGCGTAGTGCCTCCGCCAATTTCGCTACAAGTGAACAACACCAACATTAAAAAATCACCGTCCAAAAATTATTTTAGAAAATTATTAGGCAAATATTTAGTAAAACATTAGGAAATTAAGTCAAACGAATAGAGTTTCATATATATAATAATTACTACTTATATTATCACTCATATACAATACAATTATTAATAAGTTATTAATTTATAAAAACAAATAATAGCTTTTTGTTATTGAACTTTAATAATTATTAGTGTCCAACTCAAATATTTATTAAAGTGTTTTAATTATTATTGTAATAATATCGATGTAAACAAAATAAGCTTTGCCTTTTTTCATATAAATGTTTTCATGTATATATAAGTTATACTAACAACAAATACATAATTACACTATATACTTATATGAATACAGATTATTAGTATTATATGTAGTTACATGTACAAAGCTTATATTATTAGTATTCAAAAATATTTTATATACTAAAGTCAAACATGTCCAAAAAGTAACAATAATGAGACCAAATGTAGTTAAACGCAGCCGTCATCTTTAGTTTAAATTTATCAGGAGATACATTTTTAAGAAAAATAACAATACAAATTTTCCTTTAATATTTAAATTATTTTATTTTTACAACTGTAAAGTATTGTTTTCTAATATATCTATTTATTTATTGTTGAAAAAAAAGCTCCATTAAATCTTAGATACATTCAAGCAACCTACTTGCTGTGTTTTATATTTCGTATTACAGTCGCGTAACATATTCCAAGATCGGTTAAGTGAAACACTTACAATCTTAATAAGCTCTTCGATCTTTATTCAACGAACTTTAATCCTTTTTGATTTATTTTTAATATCAGCAACAATAGTCTAAATTTTTCCCGTTCGAAATAGTCACTTTACACTCCTGTGTAATTGTTATATATGTTTGCGCAAACTTTCTATAAACTTCAATCAATTGGGTTTTGATTAGCAACAGTGTATTATTTTCGAAATGAATAAAATTAACCAGATCGACATAATTCCTTTTTAATTTTTACATAAATACAAGGTGAGATGAAAAAACTGCAACAAAGTAAAACGCCATAATTTTTTCATTTTTTTTAAATTTTATTGAATGAAAGCAAAAAATGTCGGAAATAACATCAAATTTGAGAATCGGTTTAGATTTGTTCGAATTGGCCACCTTTGGCCCGAAAGTGGCTCTGCGGTATTTTGTCCCATTCTCGGCGAAGCGCTTGCTTGAGATGATCGACACTTTGGTATTTTTTAGTTCCAACCTTGCTTTCCAAAATACCCCAGGCACAATAGTCCAACGGATTGGCATCCGGAGATTTTGGTGGCCATTGTGCGGTGGAAATGAAGCGAGGAACCTCATTTCTTAACCATTCTTGGATGGCGCGTGCTGAGTGCGATGGTGCTGAGTCCTGTTGGAATGTCCAAGGTCTGCGGCCGAAATGTTTGCGTGCCCAGGGCTTCAGAACTCCCTCCAAAATATTTTCGCGATAGATTTGCGCATTTAATTTGACACCACGGTCGATGAATACGAGCGGCGAGCGACCATCGGCTGTTATGGCGGCCCACACCATCACCATGGCCGGCTTTTGAGTTGTGATGGCCAACCGAAGTTGCAAATTTTCAGCTGACCTCTCTGGCAAGTAAACACGATCATTTTGTTTGTTTACAAACTGCTGGATAACGAATGGTTTCTCATCGGAGAAAACCAAATTCGGCAGTTCACCACTTTCGGCCAAGCGAAACAACTCTTTAGCTTTTTCGAGTCTAACTTTTTTTTGCGCATCAGTAAGATCTTGCACTTTTTGGAACTTGAATGGCTTTAGTCCAAGCTCATTTTTCAATATTTGCCGAATGGCATATTGCGATATGTTCAGCTCACGAGCCATTTTTCGTCCACTGCGACGCGGATTTCGTTCAATTCGCTTTTTCACTTTTCGAACCATTTCTGCCGATGTTGCTGTTTTTTTTCGTCCACTTCCTTGACGTCGGGCTACGCTACCAGTATCATGGTAACGAGCGATGGTACGAGACACAAAACATTTATTCACTTCTAAATGCTGGAGGGCTCTAACGATAGCCACTTGTGGTTTTCCAGCCAAATGCAAAGCAATCACACTATCACGCTTGAATTCCATCACAAATAACTTTTTTTTTGAAAAATTCCCACCAAAATGCTTTTGTGCGCTTGTAAACAATATAATGAGCTGTCACTAGAATAAATCTGACAGCTGTGGGACGAGCGGTTTAGAAATGACAGCAGTCTGAAGTTGGTTGCAGTTTTTTCATCTCACCTTGTATAAGAAGACGAATTTAAAATGTTTTTTAAATTAAGACTTTGAAATATTTTTCTCTAGTGATATCTAGCGATTTTCAAAGTTGCATTTTAAAACAATCTCTGCCATCTTCTTCATTGCTCTAACATAATCCATAATATCTTCACATATACCTCACATGACTGTGTTAGATCCCTGAATTTATCACAGTATTAGTTCCTTTATATATTAAAGGAACATAGAGGCTCAACATGTATTAGGTGGAAATAAATTATTATAGTTAACGAAGTGCTATTGTTATTATTTTAAGATCTTTCTCTCACTGCATTAACGCACTAATATTAATAATAAAATTTCAAAAGTCCTTAACAGAAGTCCTGCGCAAAATTTCTAGGCCATGATATTCTAATTTAAACTAACTCATTATTATATTTGGACCTTGAACTCTGAGTCACAGTAATCTAACAGTAATACTCTTGAAGGAACTTCATTCCATCTCTAATATTATTAGTAATTTTAATTAAATTTACTTGATTTTCTATTATTCCAGCAATGAATTTTAATATATGGAAACAACCATTGATTATATCAAAACTCTGTTCGAAAACAAAGGAATTAAAGTATAAAAGTATAGATATTTTTTAAAAACCATTCTTTTTATTTATTTATTTATTATTCACATAGAAATATAATTCCAAATACTGTATAATCATTAATTCGTATTTATCCATACGATCCATACTTCGTTTGAAGTGTTAGAGAATTCAGTTGAAGTACAACCATAAGCTGTTGCTATACATGATATTGTGTAGGTTGTAGAAACATGGACTAAAATATGTTATACTTCAATATTTATCTTAAAAAATTATAGACTCCACCACCCCATCTTGACTCTAAACGGAGTTTTAAAATAGGAAAGCAAATCCGAAACTATACATTTTACAGGAGTATAAAAAGTATTACATTTCAATACAGATTTAAAAATTAATTATTTAATAATATAGTATTTAATATAGAATGAGCATATTACCATGTTCCCACTGCAACTAAATCATGTTAATCAAATTAAGATTTCGTCGTTTCCATTGGCATAAGTTGATTTATGCAAATAAACGAACTTTAATGTGTCAAAAAGTTCTGTAAAATTTCAAGAAGAGGTTTTATTTATATGCATAACAATTGTTAGCAGATAATATTTAATTTTCTATTATCAGATAATAGAAAAAATGTTATACATAATATTATTTATAAAAAGCATTTTATAAATATTTACATTTTGTTTGTGACAAATATTTCAAATTTCAATCAAATCCATTTTGGGAAATACATTTTGCAATGTTACATTCGACATTTTGCTGTAATTTCTCTTGATTTATTTTTAATGAAATTAAAGAGCACAAAACCTCTTAATCAAATTTCATTAGCAACCTAAATGAAATAAACTGTGTCAACGAAGGCAATGGGAACATACTATAAGAGCAATGAAACAAATGTGTTATAAGCAAATTATCACTTTTTTTTTAAATAATTATATAATATTTACTGAGATATATGAATTCAATTAATTAAAAAAAGGAATTCATAAAAATTCTAAATAAATTATAAAATGTTGAATGTAAGAAAGCTTTAACGTCTTCAGAAATACTTTTTTCAAAAACGCTCTAAGTATTTATATATCAAATTAAAAAAACTAACTGTCCCCAACCTAAATACATTTTTGAAATTAACTATCAACTATATAGTAAATTAAGGAAATTCGTTTTAAAACAATCTAGCAGATCTGTTTTCTACATTCATTGGAGGATACCATTAAAATAATGTATTTGAGTTTAGGTAAAAGTCTCCTTCAATAATATTGACTTGAGTATTTGAGTATCAACTTCAATTTGATCAATTTTAGAATTTATTCAATAATACTATAATTAATAAATACTAAAAGTGCAAACAAGTTTCTGGATCTATTTTTTAAAATGCATTTTTGATCATTTTGAGGAGATTATTGATAAAAAAATTTTATTGTCTATTTATACGGTGGGACGTTGGGACAGCGCACCGTCCAACAAGTGACCACACTGAGGTAAAGGATTAGCCGAAGTAGACCACGGAACTACTTGGGTCCTTTTTCGCCCTATTGGTTCTTTCTTATTGTCTAAGTAAAATTAAAATGTCAAAAAAAACGCATATTATAAAATTTCAGAATTTTACAGAAAAATAAAAATTTCAAATTCAACTTTACTAAATAAAGTAATAAACATTTAGAAATCGAGAGAATTTTGTTAGCAACAAAAAAAGCAAAAAATACCAGAACAACGTAGTGCACATATAGAGCAGACAATACTGCAGACAATACTGACAATACTGACTATATATTATGAATAAAACAAATATACAAGCGATATTTATAATTTTTATACAGTTTCTGATTTATTTTCATTGGACAATTGTAATATATTGAATTCAATGGAAACTTAAGACCGTACCTTTATACGATTTCAAAAGTAATGATGTATTTATTTTTACATTATCAATTCTTGAAAGTTGTATATAAAATTATACCTAACATACATAAAATTTATGATTACAATACTTTACAAAGATAAAATTATAAATTCTTAATTTAATATTTTTTTTTAAAAACTAATATTTATATTATTATTATATTTACAAAAAAAATATAATTTAAAAAATCAATGATTAAACATGCTCAATCCATTCAGATAGTTTCTACAAAAAAATTTGTATTGTATGTTTCTTGAAAAATGTATCTCAACTTAATTTTTTATTAAACAAAACAATTTAAATATAGAAATTAAAAATTTTACAAAGAAA